ACCACCGGCTGTCCCTGCTGCTCTCGCAGGCCGCCGGCTCCCAGTACTGCCGAGACCTGCTGGGCCTGCAGCTCGCCGACTGGAGCCGCATGCAGACGGACAGCTACCTGCCCGAGGAGCGGCTCCGCATCTTCACGCTGCTGTCAGGCAAACCCGTGAGGACCCGCCCCCTTTCCTGCATGTCTACACGGCGGGAAATGTCTTTAAACAGAAAAAAAATATATAATATAGTAAATATAAAGTCTAAAAAAGTTGTAATGGTGGAAAAGTTCAAATGTTTTTGAGAATACTCTTAATAGTAGTTAATAATAATAATGTTGTTATAATGTTTTGACCCCCCCCCCCACAGGTGTGGCAGTCGTCGGACTCGGTGGTGAACGTCTGCTCCGAGCTGGACTGGAAGCGCTGCCTGGCCGTGCACCTGTGGTTCATGCTGCCTCCCACCGCCTCCGTGGCCGACGCCCTCGCCAGATACGAGGCCGCCTTCCAGGTGAGCTCCTCCCTCTCTGCGGTCACATGACCGCCACCCTCGGCACCTGCTGTTTTCACGCGGCTCATCGTGGTGGTTCCTGTCCCGCAGGGCTCGCCTGACGGGGGAAAGTATGCCTGCCCGCCGCAGCCTCCGTACCTGGAGGCGGAGCAGCCGGACATGATGGAGGAGGAGCCTGAACGGCCGCTGCACGACCTCTGCTTCCACCTTCTCAAACTCTACAGCGACAGGTGCTGTTGTAAAATGTCTTCTTCACCGTAACTTGTTGTCCATAAATGTTTGAAGTCATGGAGCAGTTGGAATGCTGCATACAACCATTTTAAATAAATACAGATCAACGTATCATTCAAAGCAATGAAAGGTGTTCAACCCGCGTGTCTCCTGTGTGCTGTAGGCACTACAGCCTGCAGCAGCTGTTGGACCCTCTGACCGTCACCTGGCAGCGCCTGGACTACCGGCTCAGCTGGCACCTGTGGGGCGTCCTGCAGGCGCTGCACTACAGCCACCTGAGCGCCTCGCGGCAGGGACTCCTGCACGCCAGCTACGCCGCGCAGCTGGAGAGCGCCGGGCTGTGGCACATGGCCGTGTTCATCCTGCTGCACATCCCCGACCACATGTAAGGGCACTGACTGACAGGCAGGGGGCGCTTTAGGGCGGGGCTACACGCTGACTGACAGGTCTCCACCAGAGACGAATACAATATATTATGAATAAATATTTAGCAGTTCTTTTATTGAGATGAATCACTTGAGATGTGTGTTCTGATGCGGTCTTCTTCTGTGGTGCTCGTGTGCAGTCAGCGGGAGCGGGCGGTGAGGGCCATGTTGACCCTGCACTGCTGCCTGCAGGAGACGCCCGAGTCGCTGCGCAGGGAGCGCTTCCTGACGGAGAAGCTGCTGATCCCAGATCAGTGGCTCCACGAGGCGAAGGCCACCCGAGCGCGCCGCGACGGCGACCGCCAACAGGAGGCGCTGCACCTGTACCGGGCCGGGTCCTGGACCCAGTGCCACCGGCTGCTCATCCGGCACCTGGCCTCAGGTGGGTCTCTGACCTCACGGCTGCATTCGTGCTAGTTGTCATCTAGTCGGCACCGTTAGCGCTGCGCTACTTGCTTAGCAATGAAATATATGCATTCAGAGCAGATATTTTCCATTAATAAAGTTTAATCAAACTCCCTTCACATGCGGAAATAAGAACATCAAGGGAATTTATCTTGTTCAGTATTGAATGTTGTGAACTTTTAATGGCAATTAATGAATTTCAGAATGAGATTAATTAGTTTGACGGCCCTGATTGATATTTTTGTACATTATATATTCTGTACATATTACCACCTTATGTTCTATGCACTCAGATTGCATCATCAATGACAATCACGACTACCTGCTGGAGTTCCTGGAGGGTCTGGCGGTCCCTGAACACAGCGCCACCATCCAGGACTGGGACACGGCGGGTCGCGTCTACCTGGACTACATCCGGGTCGTCAACACGCTGCAGGACATCCAGCAGGTACCAAGTCTTTTTAACCTCTTCCACTTGAGGAATATTGCGTACGGACAAACGTATGGCTGCTTCCCGCGAGGCGTCCGCGTCTTCGCCTCAATGCTCCCAAAACAACGCGGCAAAAAGTCGCCCAATCCGGGGTGACCTTAACGTTTGTCACTGGGTACAAAAACCACCAAATCATCGAAGCGCATGAATCCTAAATACTTCAGACCTTTTTAAATGAAATCAAACGATTACTCTGTTTCTCACCCTTTTGCGCCGTGTAGCTCTGCGTTTGGGTCGATGGCACGAGATCGTTTGATTCTTCGTCTTTATTGTACGCAGCAAAGCGTTGACTAAATACACAAATAAGTTGTGTCACTCGGTGGAGCAACGATACATGGAGACAAACGAGGATGTTTTCAGTATGTTGCATACAGCTAAAACTACATAATTAATATTCCCCTTTTGGCTTTTACAACTAATTAAACTGATATATAATATTAATATATTATTCATAGTTTTAAGTTTAAAAGTTTTTTAGTTTGAAGCCATGTGCTTTTTATATATTATATCTATAAATAGATATGTTGTTCAATTTGAAGAAAACAATTTGCCTTCGCAATAAAAAAAAAATGATGTGCGTTTTTCAAAATAAAAGTGTGTGTTTAGGCATCGTTACAACTCACAGCTTATTGGGGGGTCGAATTTCACAGCTGATCCTAACTTGTCATTTTACGCTCCACCATCCTGGCTTCTGAGTGGCTTAGGAAGCTGTCAATCATTTCCAATGTGGGATCAGGGGACGATCGGCCAATCAGAGTCCACATTTTGACTCTCGCTCGTCTCTAGAGCCGTTTATCACGACTACCAACGTGAACCTTTCCTCATACGCTGTAAAACATACATGTAATATTTCTTCACCGGTAACACGTGATCTGATTGGTTTACATCAGAGCACTCGCATGATTCCCCTTTATGCTACAGAAAATAAAGTAGTTGTCACCCTTTTGATGACGCCTCTGACCTCCTTGGCGGCCCCGTGTGTCCAGGTGGAGGCGGCCGGCTTTGAGTTGGAGCGTCTCTACGGCGACGTCACGTCTCTGTGCAGCAGAATCGAGCTGCTGCCCTGCAGCTCCGCCAGAGACCGCCTCGCCCAATCAGGTGAGAGAAGGGGGCGGGACCTGGATGTTCTCCTAACCACTATTCCTTGTCCTCTGTGCGAAGGAACCGTTGATGCCTTCATGTGTTCATGTGTAACACAACCAGGTTCAAAGTTTCACATGATTTGTCTTTCTACGTCGCCATTGTTATTGTGATCAAACCAATGATGTTCCACTATTTAAATATTACCGCGGGACGGAATAACCTCCTTTCCTTTGGTAAAGGATGCTCCTCTGGTTCCTATGCTGAAGGAGCTAAATAAGGAAGCATTGCATCTCCTTTCCTTACTTGGAGAAGGGAAGATCTCTTGTGTGGCCACTGCTTCACTCAGTGAGGAACCTTCCTGAGAAGAACGCGTCCTGCGTGTAGATGAACGTCTGCTGACTCGCAACGAGATCTGAATTCATTCCTTAGTTGGTTGATTGTATTTATAAAGTGTCAAACAACCAACGCAGGAATAACAGCCCAGTTTATTGTCTCATTGATAGACGACTTTGGTTGAACAGTGTCATCTTGATTAGTGTAATAGGAGTTTATACATCAGAGGGATGCTGTGTGTCTGGACTAAGCCCCGCCCCTCCTCCCCTTAGAGATGGCGAAGCGTGTGGCCAACATCCTGCGGGTGGTGCTGAGCCTGCAGCAGGGCGACGCCCCCCCCGACCCGCTGGCTGGGGGGCTGGGCCGGCTGGCGCTGCACATCGGCCGGCTGCCGATGCCGGAGGACTACACGCTGGAGGAGCTGCGCGGGCTCACGCAGTCCTACCTGCGGCAGCACGTCCTCAGCCAATGAGCGCGTGGCTCCGGTTGCCCGGGAGACGAAGAACCGGTTCTGTGTTCTGGACCAGAAGCGTTTAAGGAAAAGATAAAAACCCGTTTGAATCTTGTTGCTTTAATGTTTTGTTTCTCCGACTTTAAAACAATGTTTTTATATTTTCCTTCCTGGTTTCTCTCGGTTTTCAAAGTCTTTAAACTTCTGAAGCTTCATTTTAGTCTAATTTACAATGAGTGAATAATCCGTTGACCTGGAGTTCAGTTTTTATTCACGTTCTCCCGATGAAGTTTAAGGATTTAAAAACAAATTGAAACCAAAGAAAACAAATATAATTTGTGGTAAAGTGGATAAAACTATTTTCAGCTGATTGGGGAGAAAGTCAAATAACGACTTTCCACAAAGAAAGTTGTATAAGAAATGAAAAGGTTTTATGACATGCAAGCGCAAGAAGCAGCTGTTAGCTTAGCATCGCGCGGCAGCTGCCACTCGCGCGTTGATACGTGAAAAATGCCTGCTCTATTTTTGTAGATTTGTTTTTGTGTGTGTACATGATTTTGTTGATATTTTTTAATAAAGCCAAGTAGAAATACACTGTTTGATATTCATACTCCATGAAAGTCCTGCGAACACGCACGGTGTCCCGGTCTGCGTCTCGCTGAGGACGTCTGTCCTCCTGAAGTATAAAAGTAACGTGAGGGCCAAACATGTCCATTAACGTGTAACCTCGCTCATGTGACAGTGAGACCTGCCGTTATGACGGAAACATCGACCGTTAAATCTCCCAGTTAATGCTGGGAAACACCAAACTAGCAGCAGTCTGTCTTCTAAATGAGTAACGAGGTTATTTTTTAAATTTCTACTTGGGTAACTGAAAATACTCAGTGACCTTGACACCTAAAACCTCTTCCTATTGGGCGAGAGGAGAGCACGTCCTCCAATCAGTCCCTGTGGGGGACACTTGAGGACAGGTGTCTGTGCACCGCCATGACGAACCCCTTGTATGTCCAACACACTCGAGCTTCGGACTATTTGTGATATGAAACTAAAGTCCGATCACCACCTGGACCAATAAACACCAAGATGCTAATCTGGGTTTTTACAGACAAACTTTATTGCAAAGGATTTTCCACCACAACTTGTCACAACACATCGGGGACATTTACATACAGATCACAGGAAACACTAAATGACCTCATTTCCTCTGAAAGTAACCAGCAGGAGGAACGCGGCGTCTCACACTTCAACAAGAAACAAAGGTCGTGACCTTTCAAATAAATTACTGACTCCATTAAATCTCAACCAACCGGATGCGGGAGAGTGCGATTGGTCGGCCATGAAAGGGGCACGTGACACTAACGTGGCTCCTCTGGGAGGGGTCAAAGGTCGTCTATGTGACCATGTACTCCTGTCGCTTGTTGAGTCGGACCTGGCAGAGCGACACGGCGCCCACCGCCACGTAGATGGCGGCGGCGATGAAGCAGTTGATGCCGACCTGGTTGTAGAGGCCGTAGATGTTCTGAGGGGGGTTTTTACTGCGGGCGACAACACGAGATCATTAGTTTTTCATTCCTGTCACACAGAAAGTCAAACAGGTCTTCAGCGCAGAATGACATTATGAATAAATATCAAAGATATTGATTTTGTCCTCCTGTGTTTTGTTTTGGTTGAAATTAAGCATTTGTTCAAAGAAAACAAATGTACTAAATATTCATACGCAGAACTTAAACAGAAATATGTAAAACCAGAACTAGAAAGAACGAATGCATTGCGACTCACTCGCTGCGTATGTCCTCCTCGGTGAACGGGACGTCCTCGATCAGCACGGCCGACTTGGCGCTGAAGAAGATGCCCAGCATGGCCTGGGGAGGGAGGGCAATGATCCATAACATCACCGATAATCAATAAACAATATCAGCATGTTTTTGTTCTATATGTTTATTAATAATAATACTTTCGCATGAAATAATGAGTCACTTATTATGTTAATCAGCTGTAATATTGATCATGAATTAGTCAGTTTAAGACAAACACACACTGGTAGCTTTTCTATTATTTGTTGTTTGTTGTCATTTTGGTTTCAGATTTCATGTTGGAAATAAATTAGCAACAAAACATAAATGTTAACGGCATCATCATAATCAGTGGGAATTACAACAAGCACAAAACTCACGAATCCCCCTGAACGAACATTCAGATTCTGTTGAAGGGGGAAGTGATTTTCTGCGATATGACGTCACATGGGGCCAGTAATAAGTCACATGACTCGTTTAGACATTTGAATAAAACGTCCATTTTAATACTCGTGTAGTCATCAATCAGCGTTTCGATCAATAACTTTATGATCTACAACAAATAACGTGGGTGTCATAATAATTATAATAAAAAACAGTAAAGGTAGTAATAATAATAATAATAATAATAATAATAATGTGGAAGTCTCATCCTCATGAGTGAAAGACAAGATATTAGCCACAGCGTCCATTACACATGCAGTAATTGATCACTGATCAGATGTATTGATCACCAGAGGCGTGATGTCATCAACCTTGGTCACCATCTACTTTCCGGAGAAGACTTACGTTTCAGGACTACTTGTCGATAGATGGCTAAAGTTGTATTATTTGTATGGTCTAGTGTGAATAGACAAATACCTGAAATTAGATTATATAAGTAAAACAGCTGGACTGAGAGGGAACGACGTTCGTTTCTTAATCCGAACGGTTAGCTAACGTTAGCTAGGCAGTGTGTCTCCAGGAAGTAGCCGGCGCCCATCGTAGCTACAGATCCATATTTCTTACCAGCATGATGACGCCCCAGATGCTGATCACTATCCCGCACGCAGCCATCTTCGGCCCGCAGAACAGAAGCGACGGCATGTCGGCGTTGGGTCCGATCGATCGATCAGGAGCCGATTGGCTATTAGATTGTGTTTGGTCCGCTAAAGTGTTCAGTGGAAGGACGCCAGAGCCTCGCGGTCAGCTGATCCTCATCCGCTCGGCTTTACTCGTTGAAAGTCGACAACGCTCGTGATCCGCAGCGCGGCGACCAATGGAAAAACGTTCAGTTCGACACGCCCCACCCCTTTCCTCTGAGACCGACCAATGGCGCTCCACCCCCAGTCGCGCAAACATTCCCTTTATCCCGTCTACCTTTGTTGTAAAATATTTGTAAATATACATTTTCCTGCTGAATGTGTAACGCGGGAAAGGCTCCCGGTGGATTCCGATCGATGCGTCTGATTAGATGCGTTTGTTCTCGTTTCTCACGAACCTCTATGGAAGCGCGCTATCGGCGCGAGCCAGCTAGCGTTACAGGAGCTAACCGTAGCTAGCAGCTAACGGCGCGAGCCAGCTAGCGTTACGGGAGCTAAACTTAGCTAGCAGCTAACGGTGTGTTCTCTCTTGAAAAGTCTAAAGGAAGCTGTGGCTCCTCGCCAAGATGACGTCAGCTTCTGCTAAGGTGAGTTCTCACGCGCTCACCTGTAACCGGACTGCGTTCACGGATGTGCTCATTTTACAGCTGTGAAAGTACTGGACACAGTATATTTGTGTACTATAGTCAGTACACAGAGTACACAAATACAGAGTAGTGAAACATTCGGCACCAACATGTATTCTGAACATCGAAATACTGACCTGAGTACTTGTACGAGCTGCCGTGAACCCTCTTGATTTACATCACAGCAAAGTTTGGGGGGGGGGAGAAGTACTTTATATAGTACTACATCTCACAGGTACGCGTAGTACTTTATACAGTACTTAATCTCAGGGGTCCACAGTCAGTACTGTAACTACCTTTACTGGTAGTATTGTCACAGTGTGGAACTAGAACCTGTGAGTACTTCTTGGTTCTCTCAGGTTGGAGAAATCTTCTCAGCAGCCGGAGCAGCTTTCACCAAACTAGGAGAGTTAACGATGCAGCTCCACCCGGTGTGTGACTCCAGCCCGGCCGGGTGAGACACACACACACACACACACACGGAGACACACTCACCCGGGGACGCACACACTCACAACCTCTCCCTGACCTCTGACCCCTCAGGGCGAAGTGGACGGAGACGGAGATCGAGATGTTGCGTCTGGCGGTCCGTCGGTTTGGAGACGACTTGAACAACATCAGCACCGTGATCAAGGAGCGCACCGTGTAGGAGCTCCTCCCCCCCCGTTGATTATTGGTGGTGGTCTGTTCCTTGTTATGAGGGGGTGTGTCTTCCTGCAGCGCTCAGATAAAGAGCACCGTGAAGAGGAAGCTGTACGAGGACAGCCGGGTCCCCATCGCCGCCGACGCGTCCAAGAAGACCGCCAAGAAACCCGCCGGGACGACGGGGCCTGGTGCCGCTCCCGCCATGATTGCCGTGTCGACTTCGCAGGTCGTCGTGGCGACAGGCATGCAGGGCGGGCCCTCTCTGGCCCCTCCCCTCAAGAAGCAGAAGACGGCAGGTGAGAAACGACAAGCGGTAACTTCAGGAAGTGGCGTGAGATGCGAATTCGGCAGATCTGTCGCTCCAGACGGACCAGCATTCCGTGCGGTCCTGGTCGGCGCCCTACTGGATGACTCGCGCTGATTGGAGTCAGCAGGGTGGCTTGTGAATGAATGTACCGCCTCTGCCTGCCCCTGCGTAGTAAATTAACATGTTGGCCACGCCCCCCCAGACGTGACCCTCAGCGCTCTGAACGACTCTGACGTGAACAGCGACCTCGTCGACATCGAAGGACTCGGAGACGGTTCGTCCAACAAGAAACTCAACTTTGACCAAGGTGAGCGAGACGTGTACTCATTCTATACGGTGTGCATGTACTTGTACTATACAATATATATGTATATACTCATTCCATACACATTGTGTACATGTATACATATTGTATACACCATGTACTCTTTATGTATGGAACATTGATTTATTATACATCATTAATCATTGTTATACAACATGTGTTTCCCTCAGAGAGCCTGAACTTGGACTCCAGCCTCATCATGAACTCCAGTGACCTCCCACTGCTGTCCCGCTGACCTTTGACCTCTCGGCTCAGTACACTGTTGATTTTAAAGTTAAACGTTGAATTGTCCAGGAGACAAAATCCATTGATCTTTTTATTTTACGCTTCGTCCTCGTTGGATTTCCCCCATACACCTTTTTCTTTTTGTTTTTGTTTTTGTTGACATAATTATATTTCCATCAGCGAGTTTAGCGTGAAAACATTTAAACATAGTTTTGTCTTCCTCTTATCATGAAGAATAACGTGAATCTTATTCCGGGTCGTCATGGTAACCGTAGTGTCACTTCAGATTCCTGATTTTTAACCTTCACTACTGGAGTTAAGAATTCCTCAAAATGAAAATTATTAACACGTTTACAACCAAATGTCCAACAAGGAATGATTTCATGCTCCTGAACCCTCAAAGACTCTTAAACTGCACATTTGAATTAAATGTTAAATATATTCCATTTCTACTTTTAGAATTCAAGAAAAAAAGAAACTGATTTAAAATCTCTTTTCTACCTGACGGGAAATAAACTTTTTTTTACGAGATATTTTGAAAGAGTCTTCTAGGATTCCGTTAATACTAATAATGATCTAATGAAGCAGAAGCTTCTCATGTCATCAGTTCATCGGTGAGGGACGACGTTCTGCAGCGGATTAATCCAGCTTCTGTTTAGAGATCATGACAACAAATCAGCTTTTTGACTTCAAAGTTTTGACAAACAACTTCTATGTTTAGTAAAAAATAACAAAAACCGCTGTCTTTTCTTTTTTTTGGATGTTTTGTTTTATTCAAGTGTTTCCTGATGTAGCCCCGCCTTAAAGCATCCCCTGCTTAACGACCTGTCAATCAGTGTGTTGCCCCGCCCTGTGTCTTAACGGTTTATACTGTAAACGGGTCGTATTATAGTGAGAAAAAGTAAAGAAATAATTAAAGGTGAAGAACAAAACAAATAGCACATACAAGTAAATATTGTATTCTGATTATGTTCAATTAGTATATTCTTGAGTTATCAATTTCGAAAGCGTGTATTTTAGACTGTTTAATTGTATTTTTTCAACACATGTTGGAGGTGGAACATGAACTACGACTCCTCGTGCAAAGAAAAACACAAATGAGACCAGAGAAGACAAAAAACGTTTGTTATACGGTACAGATTTTAATTTTTCATATACAATATTTATAGTGTGTAGATTATTTCCACTAGAACCAGAAGGTCACTTACTTATATTTATTTATTCAATAAACACTTGAATATATACTTTTATTTTACAGTTGCATAAAAATACATGGTCTCTTTTTCTTACGTATAGAATTAGTCCAAAACAACAGAAAAAAGATCAACATTGAGAAATCCATGTGTATGTTTCCATAGTTGTACTTTTAGTTCCCTTTATTATTTATAGTCCATCTCACTCTGGTGGATTTTACTTCAGACCCTGATTTGTTATTTTAAAATGCTGCTGGTTTTGCTTTTACAGTTTAATAATAATCAAAGAGCAATGGCGCTTCACACGTATACATATTAAAGTGCTGAAGTTTCCTTCTTAAAAAAATGAATCTTTTCATGGATCAATCTTACGAAACCGTAAAAAAAGAGGTCTGATAAGATGGTGAAGGTGAAAAGGCTACAGGTTAGCTTAGCATGAGGACCAGCAAAGGGCAAAGGACTTTTATTCATAAAGTTTAAATCTGAGAAGTTTAGTTTCTCAGAACAAAAGTAAAGATTTTCCTGTTTACATGATGAGAAGTAAATTCCGATATTTGACGCTGCATTTTGAGCAACCAATCAGTGGAATCTGACGGAGAAGCGCTAATTAGCGATAGCAGCACAGTCCTTCTTGGCTACGTAAGGGAGCTAACGCTAACAGAGCTTGAAGTGAGTCACATTATGTTGCTTTCGAGCCCCAGTAAAAATGAGTACTGAGATGAAGGCCATGACCACGTTATCGTGATGCGTTCAAGGTACCGAGGAAAAACCACCAGAGTGAAATACGTCCGCAGAACTGAAGCGTTGAATGAATGAATGAATCTCCTAAAAAAAAAAAAAAGCATCTCTGACATCATGAGGATGAATATGACACCGATCCCGATAAAAGCTTAACGTGTGCAATAAAACATAAATAATGAAACGTGATTAAAAGAAAAAAATTAAAATTAAGTTTTGTTTTTTTTATAAAGTCACAACGAGGCAATTTCAGCGATATGGGAAGTTTTAAACAGTTATATATATATATATTTATATGTGTGTGTACACACACAGTAAATCAGCTGTATCATCTTATTTATGCCTCTAACAAATTGCTTTGGGAAATTGGGAAAATATAAATGTCTTGAACAAAATGAATCCCAAAATATACATTTGAAAAACAGCTTTTGTGGTATTTTGTTTTTATCTTAATGGCAAAATGGACGTAGCTTAAGTTTCTCAATACATTTATACCAACGAATTATATTAAATACATTACTTTTAATGAAAAGTAAAATAAGTAAACATGTTGAGCTTAAATGACTGATTGTTCTCCAAATTGTACGGCTGCTATTCTCTTGGCCCAAATTAGCATGTTAGCAAGAGCAAAGCACCAGCTGTGGTTGGCGTTTACGATTATCACCTATTGTTTCATTATGTAAAATTTAGTTAGCAATCCGTGAGGACTAATGTTAGCGTTGTATGCTAACTGTTAGCATGAGCAAAAAACCTCCAATCGCACTGAAAATGTTGTTTAACAGATAAAAAAATGAAAACATTTTAAACACGTGAAGGAAAATAAAAAAAGAGGAAACTCAAAGGACGAGACAAACATTGATGAATACTGATCTCCTTAAATTGCAGGTTTCTAAAGAGTTTTTGGCTTAAAAACATTCTTGGTAGCAGAAAGTCGTACGAGTCGGCTGCTTATCGAGCGGCTGCTTCTACGAGCAGCGCAAAGAAAATAAAGATTTTAAAGCAACAAAGATATTTTGGCAGCGTTTTGTTCCGTCTGAAAGAAAGAAGTTTGCTTCAGTTCCTTCAGTCTAAACAAAAGGTACTTAAAGTTTGTCTCAATTAAAAGTGTTCATAAAAAAGTAAACTACAGATGATATTTACTGGCCTTGTTGTGGTCAGACGGAGTTTAAATTAAGACATTTATTGAATGTTTGACATCAAAGCGGTTTCTTTCCTTTGATAGTTACAGATTTAAATCTGAATGTTTGTCAGAAATAAAAAGATGTTTTGGCTCAAAGACTCGTGGAAGCCTCACGCTGCTCTCAGGCTAAACTTAAACTCATCTGGAATTGATTTAGACTTTGATGCTTTTTTATGTTGAAAGAACTCAAAGACTCGACAGCAGCAGAAGAGCGAAAGCTGGAAGCAGAACCACCGGTTTCTGACCTCTGACCTTTCCAGAGCAGATACGTTAGAAATAAAAAGATCCACAATCAAAGTCGTCTTTGACCATCGTTTGACCTTCAGGAGCAACGAGTTCAACGTAGCAAACGGAAGAGGAAGAGGAGATATGTACAATCCGACCGACCGACACGCAGAGGGGGGGCTTTAGTGTCTGGGGTGCTGGTGGGAGGCGAAGGGGGTGAAGGACGGGGGAGGAGGGGACAGAGACAGGGGGCAGGACTGGGGACTGACGCCTCCTGCGGGGGGGGAGTCCGCCGCCGCCTGAGAGACGCTGAGGGGGGGAGACAAGCTTTACTCGAGATTCTTCTCCTTCATAAGTTGAGTTTGAGTGTTGAAGCTCCACCCTCACCTGAAGGTGTAGCTGCTGCTCCGGTGGGCGGGATCCGTTACCCCGGCAACAAAAAGCTTCTTCGGGGGTCCGTCGGACTCCGCCCCTCCTGAGGGGCGACAGAGGTTAACGGCTGTAGAGGTCACGACAATGGTTCTTTATTCAGGGGCACGTAGAGAACTGCGTGGCGGCCATCGGCCAATGGGATCGCTGCGTTTTGATAAGCGTGGACGGCAAAAACAAAACGTTCAATCAAGAAGGACGAGAGACGTCTCCTCGAAGAGAATGTTGTTAAATTACATTAACAATTAAACAAGTGTCTAAAATACACACTTTCTAAAGTGATTTTTTTAATCTATTGACAACACTAGTTATTTATAATAAAGTTCAGGAGGAAGGGAGAAGAAAACATCTGCTGAAGGCCATTCGAATGCTAACGTGTCACTTCCTGCGGCCCAGCTCAACAATCGCGTTGATGTTTTCTTCCTTTCTTTCACGTCGTTTATAAAGGAACCAAAGACGATACATTTGACTTCTATTCACTATTGACTTGATGATCATTGACTTCTATTCAGGCATCAAAATCAACATGAAAGGAATCGTACCTTTTCTCTTGAGCAGAGTCATCGCAGGTGATCTGACTGTGGCCCCCCCTGCTGGTCTGAGGGACCAGTAAACAAATAACAACAATAAATTCACCCATTACCAAATTAAACAACCTTCTACTTCATAAAAGAATATCTCCGAACAAGAGCTTATTCTTCTTTGTTGGTATTGTTGTCCTGACCTGAACCTCCGGGGGGGACTCGGGGAGGAGCTGGGGGTGACGCCGCTGTCCTGTGACCACTGAATAAGAAAACCAGTCATTATCAACCATCTCTGTTGATGTGGACTCACTGTAATTCAATTCATTTTATTTTGTAGAGCCCAATATCGCAAATTACAAGTGTGCCTCAGAGGCTTTAAGTCTGTACACATGTGACATCGTCTGTCCCCAAACGCTCAGCGGGAAAAACTCCCCAAACAACGAAAACCCTCCACCAGGAGACCATCCGTCTCCTGATGGACACACTACAGTGATGTCAATGTAAACTGAATGGAGATGCTCACCACTGACGTGTGATTGTGCCACTGACTGACTGGGTGACCTGGGATCGGACTGGAAGCACTGGGAGACAAAGAGAGGGACAATTAATGTAATTCAAACGTGTGTGTGTGTGTGTGTGTGTGTGTGTGTGTGTGTGCTGTACCTCAGTCTCTGCAGACTTCCTCGAAGTATCGTATCCATGTTCTCCTCCTGGAGGAAACACAAACAGCTGTCAGTACCCTCCACGTTGACCTTTGACCCGGTCTATTTTCGGTCGAATCAAACGCCCTCAAACCCAAAGAAGACTGAGAAGAGAGACTTTAACAAATAAGGAGACAAGGACGAGTGGACCGCTGACCTGCCTCTTGTGGTCGGGTCGCTCTGCGGTCGCTGAGAAAGGAGAGAGAGGGACGAGCTGGAGGGAACGATGGGGGACAGTCAGCCAGACAACAGAACGACCACGATCATTTTTATCATTACTCCACAAACAAACAGTGACCTGTGAAGGGCCGCTGGGGTTGATGGACACACTGCTGCGTCTGTACCGAGCCAACGACACTGGACTGAACATCGCCATCCCGTCGCTGAGAGAGAGACAGACGAAGAAGAGGACATTCAAGTGAGACATGCAGAAGGACGGTCTTTATTAGGTACTCGCTTAAAGGTCAATGGTGTAATGATTTGGTAGATTTAACCATCAAAAGCGCTCTTTATGTAAATGGCTTTTAAAGTTGTAGCTGGATGAGAGAATAACTACCCAAATAACGTGTGGTACTTTAGTCAATCCAGATGTTGCTGCCTCGTCCAGGTATAATGGGTAGAGGTGTGTTTTTAGCTGCAGAGGCTTTCTGCTGTCTGTGAATGTCGTTTACGTCAAATTGGAATCATTAAATGACGATATACTTTTACTTTTTTGAGTAACATTTTTCTTGTATATTCACACACATACAATAAAATCGTCACGTTTTCACTTGACTTTTCATTTAAAGGGTGCCAGAGGAATTTCAGGAAAGAAAACGGCCTGTTCTAAAGTTTAGGTTCCACTTGAACAAGTACCGGTTTGTGTACTTGTGTACTAGGCATGCAGCATTTAAGAACTCAACACTGTAACGTCTCAAGTCGTATGCGATGATGCAGGTGCAGTACCACCGACCTGACACTGGTGATCATGGGGGCGCTGTTCGACCTGCGGAGCGCCCCGCCTCCCGCCCCGCCAGCTGCGCCTGCGCACTGGTCCACTTCCATCCGTTCCATGCCTCTGCCCTCCACGGGCCCGTCACGGCCGTCCTCCGACGCTCTGATGACGGCGTCGGGCTCTACGCAAGCCCGGTGGAAGCCCGAACCCGCAGGCCTCTCCCGAGCGCGCGCTGCCGCGGAGTCGGTGGGGGTCGAACACACGGCGGCGGGCGCCTCTCTACCACATTCCCCTCTCCCCGGCTCCGCGTCCGAGCACCGGACAGGACTGTCACGGAACCCCCCCTTGCCCCCCCGGCGGCAACGCCGCTTCACGCGCACCCGTCCCCTGCCCGACGCCGACGTTCCGGTCGCGTGACCGCGTGATTAACACACGCACAAAAACACACTCGCTTGTTTCCAAAGGCGTCCAGTCAAAACTCCCGGTTCCACCGGAACACTTTTAACGCACGTGACGCAACTTAAGAAGAAGCGAAGCGCCGCCGGTCCAGAGAGCAGGAACCCGCTGAGGCAGCTGACCGGACAAGTCGCACCGGGGCCGGTACCGGAGTCCTCCCGGGGACCAGGTCCCACGGTCCCCCGCCCCCCTACCGAGCACCGAGCGGACCGCTGCGACACGAACACTTTGACCGCTTTTCACAACGCAAAGAGTCCTCCGCCGAGTGGAGACGGTGCGTCACCGGGGAAACAGCGCCGCCCTGTGGCCAGCCAGGAGCACTACACGGCGGCAGCTGCTATGATAACAGTATGTGTACTGTGGGAAGGCGAGACTCTTATTCCCTGAAAAGGAATAGTATCTGATCCTAAAACGCATTAACGCATTAACTTCTTCTATTCATTAACACATGTTATTTTCGACCTCCAAAGTCCCAAAAACTTAGAATAATAAACAACTCATCTTTGGTAGAAATTAATTACTTTATTAGCTTCATGAATGGAATAAACATTTCACTAAATATATTTGATAGTTTTAGTTAATAATATTCTAAAATATACTATAGTATAGTGTAATAGAAATATTCTCAAGAATATGTCTCCTAACCAAGTTCTTACCCTAGTAAGTCCGACCACCTGCCCTCTTGACCCCATTCCATCACATCTTCTACAATCTATCGCTCCTGACCTTCTTCCTTTCCTCACCTGTCTCATCAACAACGCTCTGTTATCTGGCTGTTTTCCCAATTCTCTGAAGGAGGTGAGTCAACCCTCTCCTGAAGAAACCCACTCTTCCCTTTTTGTCCAAAACTCTTCACGTGCGATCTTTAACCAACTCTCCTCCTATCTCCACCATAACAACCTCCTTGACCCCCACCAGTCAGGCTTCAAGGCCGTTCCACAGAGACTGCTCTCCTTGCTGTCTCAGAGCTCCACACTGCTAGAGCTCCTCTCTGTCCTCTGTCCTCGTCCTTCTGGACCTCTCTGCTCCATTTGACACAGTCAACCACCAGATCCTTATTTCTTCCCTTCAGGAACTTGGTGCCTCAGGCTCTGCTCTCTCCCTCCTCTCGTCCTACCTCGACGGACGCACCTACCGGGTAACCTGGAGAGGATCTGTGTCGGAACCTTGTCCTCTTACTACTGGAGTTCCTCAGGGTTCCGTCCTGGGTCCCCTCCTCTTCTCGCTCTACACCAACTCTCTCGGCGCTGTCATTCGCTCCGCGGGTTCCACTCCGCCCAGTGGCCTTTCTGTGTGGAGTCTGGATGTTCTCCCCGTGTCTGCGTGGGTTCTCTCCGGGTTCTCCGGCTTCCTCCCACAGTCCAGAGACCTGCTCTGGGGATCAGGGTGATTGGGACTCTAAATTGCCTGTAGGTGTGTGGATGTGAGTGTGAAAGGTTGTGTGTCTCTGTGTAGCCCTGCGATTGTCTGGTGACCAGTCCAGGATGAACCCGTCTATCGCCCGGCTGGGACAGACTCCAGCCCCCCGTGACCCCGTGACCCTGTGTGCAGGATAAGTGGTTTGCAGATGGATGGATGGAAATTGTACTTATAATGGTTCTTATCTACAGCAAGTTGTACATCGGCTTATTTGAGGAAATCGCACTTTCTTGTTTCTTGTTCTTCTGAGTTTGTTTCCTTATGGTTGAAATGCACTTATTGTAAGTCGCTTTGGATAAAAGCGTCAGATAAATGACATGTGATGTAATGTAGAAGACATTTTGTAGTTTTCCTGTTATTTTAAACTCATTGCAAATTTTTAGTAAGTAAGTAAGATTTTTAACCAAGGTAGCTTAATAACAAACTTCTTATGTTGTAATTAAAAATTTAAAAATAATCAAATTTAATGAATATATGCGTGAGATTAAGGGGGCGTGGTCTCTGAATTCAGTGTCAGAGACCACGCCCCAAGGTCAGCAACTTAACCAGTTAAAAAATGTTGTGGCGGAGAACATTTATCTCAGCATCCTGTTAATTAAACTACTACTACAAGAAGTGGAGGACAAAAAATAACTTGAGTATAAATAAATAAAAAACATTACTTTTGGCTAAACAGACCGTTTAACACGAAGCCTTTTAACTGCAGGTCCAAATGGAGGTCGGAGTTGACGGACGGCGCCGTGTCTCATCGTCGGTGTTCTGATCCCTGAAGTTCAGCTGTGACGCTGATGTCCAACGTGTTGGACGTCTTTGTCCAAACCGTATGCTTCATATGAGAAATGCTCCAGTAAATGATGCCTCTTGTCACCAGCTGCACGATGCAGGGGGAAGTTAAATAAATGCTCCGATGAAGCATAGATTTGAAATCGCTGTTGAATTACATTCTTATTTCTACAAACTATTCTGTTTCACATGAATAAATAGATCAACAAAAAGTAAAAATAATGCTGATGACAGCACTGTGGGTGTATGTATATATATATATATATATATATATATATATACTAAATCTGATGCAAATATGTTTAGTGTCATTTGAGAAAAATGTCTATAGATAATGTTGAAAAGTTAAGTAAAGCTTGCTTATTACATATATATATATATATATATATATATATATATATATATATATATATATATATATATATATATATATATATATATATATATGTAATAAGCAAGCTTATATTATATATATATATATATATGTAATAAGCAAGCTTTACTTAACTTTTCAACATTATCTATAGACATTTTTCTCAAATGACACTAAACATATTTGCATCAGATTTAGTATAATAATAAAAGAGTATAATCAGTAAAGAGAACTTGTTGGCTAACTGAAGCTAACACACATCGTGTATAAAGAAAATCACTTCACAGTTATTTAGTCTCCACAAGGGACAAAGCTGCAGAACCCCACTAAGTATCAACTTATATTTATACACACATGTATAAATAAATAAATACATATATTTAAGTATTTATTTTGTCCTCCATACAAGTACACATAGTACTAAATTAAAACCTACTTAAAACTACCTTTAATACAAGTACTTAAAACTACTACTACAATATGTACTTATAACTACCACTATAACAAGTACACATTGTAGGCTACTTCTATCACACCTACTTAAAACTACTACTACTACTACAAGTACTTAAAACTACTACAAGTACTTAAAACTGCTACTACAACACATTCTTAAGACTGGTACTAAGTACTTACGACTACTACTCCGCTATCTGTACTACTACTACAACACGTAGTACTAGTACCCCAAACCTCCGGCAGGGGGCGCTGGCGGAGGTTTTAACCGCTTAAACGCTCCGTGAGTGGGCGAAGAGAAGAGGTTAAAGGTCAAAGACGAGGGAGGAGGAGGAGGGCTCGTCTCCTTCCTTCCTTCCTTCCTTCCTTCCTCCTGACGGAGTCACACAACCTTCGGAGACTTTTAACAACTTTATCCGGAGTGTTTCTAAAACAAGGCGCCCGCGCGGCCGGACCGGCGGTGACGTAGCGCTGTGACGTCAGCGGTGACGTAGAGCGGCATGTCGAAGCGATCCACGTCCGTCTGGATGTGACCGGTAGGCGGGTTAAACCCCCCGAGCCCCCCGGCTGCTGGTAAACAACCGGGCGGCTTCGGTTTAAAGATTTAACTTAACAAGTTTATGACGGTAATTCATAGAAAACAACACGAGGAGATTAAACGAGGAAAACAGATCATCATAATATTCATTTGTCAATCTGGAAACTGGAGATTTTTTTTGCGTTTTACATTTCAGAAGCGATGTAATAATACATTGACTACTACTACACTATGTTTATATATCTGTCTATATATATTTAATGTAGTTATACCACAAAGCCAGACGCTGTATTCATCATGAGGTTTAATAACACGTGGTGCGTATAGGAATCAATAAAAGGGACTAAATCATTTAATAGTAGCTGAAGGCTTTTTCTGACTGGTTATTAACGACATAATGTGATTAAATACCAAGCATATATTTCTCTAAAGTTTATAAAGTGTCGCACAACTTTCATCTGGAAGATTTAAAGTTAGATTAAATGGAACACAAACTAATTCTAATAGCTTCCTTTTGATGAAGTATTTCTGAGTAAAGTAGTTGCTTCACCACAAAGGAAACTTAACTGTTAACTGCTTATAAACTACATTGACCTTTGACCTTGTTTGTCAGAGGAGGATGGAGGGAGAGAAAGAGACGGCTGAGGAGAAGGAGGAAGAGGAGGAGCTTCGCCATCACATCACAGCGGCGTCCTCGGTGGACGACCTGGCTCTTCCCATCATGCAATGGGAGGATCTGAGCCAGCGGATAGCCCAGTTGGAAAGACAGGAGCAAGAGCAGAGGGAGAGGTCAAAGGTCAGCCGTGAAGAAGCGTGTGGAAAGGGTTCTCTGAAGACTGCATTTCCTGTGAGCCTTTCTTGGCCCCCAAAGAGTGTGTTTCCACTCACAACACATTCGTATTTTCATAGTATAATTGATTTTATTTAAGAGGATTTATGTGAATGTTGTTTGACGCGTTGCATTGTGGGAAATGTTTGAGTTGAGCTGCAGAACTCACCAGCTCTTCAGCTGTTGATTTGAAAGGATAAAGATTGTTTGTTGGGGCTTTTGTTGTTTGTAAATTGGTAATAAAAGCGGTGTCTCCCTGCAGGGGGCGCCGGAGGGGAGTCGGGGGGGGGCGTGGGGCGACGTCTGGGAGGAAGACGACACGTCGAGTAGGAGGCGTCGAGTCGCCGTCGACAATTCGCAGTAATTAAGTTTTATTTATAATATGTATATAATACATGTTTAAAGTGTTTTTGTTTTGTTTATTGCAATCGTTCATAATGAGTTAATGACATAACGTCGGCCCACTGAAGCTCCATGTTTATGATCATTACAGGTTTCATAACCACAGAAAGCTTCAGCTGTGCTTCATCAACAGCAGCGACAGTGAGGATGAGGAGGGAGACGCCACAGAGAAGGTCTCTGCATGTTCATTGGCCGGAGGTGTCGTACTTTATTTTTCTCTGTTCGCCGCTTAGAATTAATTAATACTAATAGTTCAGTCATACATGAAGCAACCTGTAAATCTTCCTCACTGGTATTTCTTGTAGCTGCAACTACCTCACTGTCAAACCAGGAGGAAGCTGGAAACTGTCTGGGTCAGTGCTAACAGTGCTAACGGGGCTAACAGCGTCGTTAGCACTGTTAGCACCGTTCGCTGAAACATCTCCAGCTGAATTCTTTTTTAAATCCACAACCTTTTATTCTGCACAGGTTTCCATGGAAACGGGGCGTAACGGTTGCTATGGCGCCGGGCTGAAGCAGGAAGTGGCCATGGACCTGAGGACGCTAAGGGACAAACTGCTGGCTGAGCAGAAGGACGAGGAGGTAAAGGACAAAGACACAACACAGCTGTTAGCATGTGGAGACTTAATAGCATCTGTGTGTGTGTGTGTGTGTGTGTCAGCGTGTGGAAGGCATCAGCTGTGTTGCTGAGCAGAAACATCTGGAGCGTTGGGAGCTGCAGATGTGTTCAGTGCAGCAGCTCGTTAGCTTGGGAGCGTCGCTTCAACAGGATGTGCACGGTACACACACACGCACACAATATAAAATGACAGATAAATACTACATTACCCATGAGCCTCAGTCATCGTCAGAGACCAGAAGGACCAAAGTACACCCAAAGACAAAGACAACATTTAAGCCCAGACAACACGTGAACGGGACAGAATAGGAACTTGTAATATTTAGTTTTACTGGATGAAGAAATCGTTGGATTTAAAAAAATTTAATTACAAAAGACGTATTTCTTTTTGTAGAATAACATTTTTTATTTGATATGTGTATAATATGACTGGTGTGTTTAAAAAGACGTTCCACAACATTCAGCTCAGATGACAATGTCTTGACTCGGCATTTTAGCATAGCATTTTTAGCATAGCATAGCATCGATAGATTCAGTGAACCCTTCAGAGGACAGAACCATCACGGACCTCTTTGTCTCACCGCTCTGCTTCCAGCTCTCAGCTCCGAGTTGGTGTCTCACCTTGTTGTCCGGGACCAGCTGAGGACGAAGCAGGACGCCGTGCTGCTGGACGTCCAGGACCTGACTTAACAAGCGGGACCCCTGACCGGGACCCTGCACCTCTGCACCACTGCTCCGCCTCCTCAGACATTAGCTGAGATGCTAATTAGGCCAAACAAACAGGGAGATTGGACTGGAGGGGTCCGGTAGAACAGGAAGTTGAGTTCAAAACAACAAAGGTCGTGAAAAACGTGGAGACGAAGCCCGAAGGAAACGTGAGCGAGGAGAAGAAGTAACGGAGGAAAGTGATCAACTAGCGGACGGAAGGAAGACAAACAGCTCCAGCTCCTCCAGACGGAGGACGGCTGACGGACCACAACAAAGGGCCAGAAGACCACTCAGCAGCTCATGCATGAGACACACAACTGGTTGGTGTTAGTAGAAGAGAAGATGAAACATGCGTGTTGTTAACGTGTGTGAGCCACGTGTAGGAACACGTTCATTCTCTCGTGATCCTGCATGAAGAAGGAATATGAAGATTATTTAGTCATCAACAATGAACGCAACAGATGTGCAAAACTTGTGTTTCTCTAGTGACACAAACTACAAATGTCTTCTTCTTGGACGTAAACAAACGTAAATGCAAATGAGGCGAATTGAGTTATTTAATTGTTGTTTCTTAAAACAAAGAGAACGTTACATTCAGCTTGTGTAGCGAGACGAGATCAACTCTTTTTTCCTTAAAACAACAACAAAACAATGTGGAATTTATTCAAGACAAAGGGGAGATAAACATGTTTTTATAATTGTTGATTAATGATGTCATTGCTCGATCTAAGTAAACTAAAACTGCATCACAGAGGCCAGTTTGTCCTCGTGGTTTGGGACAAAAACTTAAAGCACTTGTTTTAGTTCATTTATAATATTTAAATGTTGCTGCGTCTTTAATCAAAGCTCAACACTCACATTAAGGTTTACTGCTAACGAATAAAGGGAATAATCCACTCGATTTAGCCAACATATTTTTATATTGCTAACTTTAATAATTGTTGACTTTAAGAAGGTGGAGTTTATATTTTTCCTGCAGTAATGTTTTTTGAATAATTCAAAGACATTTTATTCCAATAAAGGGTAACTCACATTCACGTTTATATTAAAAGTCACAATGAAAATATGTTTAAGTGTTTCAATAACAAAGTGGCGGAGAAACAGATAATAAGAATAATGTCTTTATATTTCAAAGTATTTAGTATTTAAATATGTATTTTCAAGTGTAAATACAATGTATTATAAATGTATCTGAAAATGTGAGACGTGAATTGTGAAATATATTTTGATAAAAGTTTCCTTCATGTTTATGTCCTTAATGAACATTTTATTGAAATACATTTTGTAGAACTTTTTAAAACAAATATTTTGTGTTTCACAATAAAAGTAGAACAAAAATCAATGATCAATAACAAGATGTTAAAAGAGGTGATTTAAATAGTTAGATTTGGACTTTAATTCCACTGCTGTTTCCTTCTAAAATAAATAGAGAATATCATGTGACCACAACTCTTCATCTGATTGGGTGACTTTTTTTTTACTGACATACAAAAGTTTTCAGAAATCTCAAATGAACAAATAATGAAAGTTTTACACTTTTTATTACATCACAGGTCACTTAGCTGACGCTTTTTATTCAAAGCAACTTATATTGCATTTCGACATGAAGGAGCAGCCATCGACCACGACTTCTATTGTTTGAATAACGATTTTATTTATTGGATATTTTTCAAATAACTTTTGTTATTTGATGTATAATTTAAAGAGTAATTAATAAGTCACAATAAATACCTTTATGTTGTTTTCCTCCTGTTTGAGGATTTAATAAATGTGTATTCATGATTATGTCGCCATGTTTGATCACATGTTCAAAGCCATTGATGATGATGATGGTGGTGAGGAGGAGGAGCAGGGACAGGAGGAAGGAGAAGGGATGAGGAGCTGATGAAAAGAAGATGAGAGCAGCTCCTCTGGAGGAAATCGGTGAGCGAATTGTTACATTTTGATTTAAAACTCCCTCAGAAGTTACTGATTAAATGTGTCAATATTGATCAGAATATTGATCAATAAGGGTGCAAACATTCAGATGCTAACGCTTACTGACAACGGCCTTAGCATCAAGCTAACCTTCTTCTATTGACGGATTAAACAAAGGTGTTGATTTGATGACTATTTAGCAGACGCGAGTCTTAAGCTCCGCCCCCTCTGCAGCCCCCTATTGGCTTTCATTCCTGCAGTTCTGACTGAATGAACTCTGATCAATTATTTACAGAGGAGATGAAGGTCAGAGAAACCCGGAGAGGCCCGAGAAATAGAAAAAGATTCTTCTGAGCCAGAAGACGTCTCAGCAGCAGAGGAAGAGGAGTAAAGCAGGAGGAAGAGGTAGGCGGGACCGGGTTGGATGTCCTTCAACTGCACACATTCAACGAGCAGCTGATGCTATTTTCAAAGCACATAAACAGATTATTTTTTTACAGAAACGAGTCTCCCTAAAACAATCAGTTAAATGTAACTTAACTGATTTTTTATTTGTCTGTACAACAACAGATGAATAAACAATCCATTCAAAACTATGAATGTGCATTTTTCACCTCTGACCTTTGACCCCTTCGCCTCCTCAGCTTGAGGAGAAACCTCCGGAAGGCTTTCGTTAATTATTGAGCAGCTAATTGAGCGAAACGTAGTCTTCATCAGCAGAAAACCCGCCGGCGGTACATTGAGAACGAGGTTTTCCAAACTAATGACGCCGTGCCCCCCCCGCGCCCCCCTCGCTCACCGACACGGGCAGGCGAAGGCAGAGCGAGAGTCGGCGCCTCGGTGAGTCGGTGGAGCAGCTGAGATGACCCGCCCAGGAGCAACCCACACAGGTGCATCATGGGATTGAGCCTGATCCCCACGTCAGACATCGGCCAGGCGACGGGGAGCCCCCCCGACACCTCGCCCCCCCCTGTGTCGTCCTGCAGCATCGACGAGTCCTACAAGTACGTCTTCCTCCCCGTGTGCTACTCGCTGACCTTCGTCTTCAGCCTCACGCTGAACTCGGTGGTGCTGCTGCGCTCCTGCCGGCGGCACGGCGGCGGCGTGCGGCGCTGGAACACCTCACTGATCTACATGGTGAACCTGGCCACCACCGACCTGATGTACGGCCTGTCGCTGCCCTTCCTGGTGGCCAGCTACGTGCTGAGGGACCGCTGGGTGTTCGGGGACTTCATGTGCCGCCTCGTGCGCTTCCTCTTCTACTTCAACCTCTACTGCTCCATCTTCTTCCTCACCTGTATCTCCGTGCACAGGTAGGTCGCCGTGGAAACACGCCCACAGGCTCTCAGAGGACGCCACGTTCTCACGGCTTCAATGCACTTCGATCTCGAATGTAACGTGACCGCCTCCTGACCCGGACAATTTGGCCCGGCCTTTGACCCGGCCTTTTCCCGCCTTTTTTTTATCGCCCGCGAAACGTAAGTGATGTTAATTCATAAACGTCAATGAATCTACGTGTCAAATCTCATGAATGTATATAAATATTTACATGTCTAATTACGGCTAATTCACCGGCGTTAGCTTCCCTTTACCGACTCGTTACGAACATTTTTACTTGAAACAGTATTTGGCGTGACGGGTAAGGAGCTAACGCTACTTTAACGTCGTTAAATCACCTGGAAACGTTACGCGATCATCAACCGTTTCACCGGACAGGTAGCTAAAGACCGTCCGGGTCAGGACAGTCCCGTTAATAACTCCAACATGATCCGTCACCATGACTTGCTAACGCAACAACACACGCAAACGAGGCTAACGAGGCTAACGTAGCAAGCTAGCTGATGCTCCGAACCTCTGAGCCAATCAGAGCGGGCGGTTCGGGGCTCTTTGGGTATTTAAACTTTGCTAATTAAAAAACAAATGATATAAACGTGTTTACCTGCTTGTTTTCTTAGACGTCTTGAACGACGGGGATCAATGCGATCGATCGATGATCACCTGCAGGTGTTTGTCCACAGGTACCTGGGGATCTGCCACCCCATGAGGACCATCACCCTGGAGAGCAAGCGGCTGGTGAAGTGGACCTGTGCGCTGGTCTGGGTTGTGGTCTTCGCCCTCACCTGCCCCATCTTCCGCTTCGCCCAGACAGGGTTCGTCCAGCGAGGCGGCGATGGCGCCGGAGGAGCAAGGGAAGCTGGGAACGCCACGGGACCCCGGTCTGAGGACGGTTACACCAACTGCTGGGACGATGCCATTGACGAGGAGTTTGCCGACTACGTTCCCTACGGCATCGTCCTGCACCTGCTGGGCTTCTTCGTGCCCTTCATGGTCATCGCCTGCTGCTACTCGCAGGTGGTCCGGACCATATTCCTGACGCTGCGCACGCCCCCCAGCTCAGTGGAGGGCGGCGAGGACGGCGGCGCTCCGGAGGGCGCAGGGGGGCGGGAGAGGAGCTCAGTGTCCATCTCCGGGTCGCAGTACTCGCACTACATCCGGCGGCGGCGGAAGTCTATCAAGACCATCGTGACCATCACGCTGCTGTTCGCGCTCTGCTTCCTGCCCTTCCACGCGACCCGCACGCTCTTCCTGCTGCTGCGGCGCGGGCAGCTGGGCGGCTGCGAGGTCATGAAAGCCGTCTCTATCTGCTACAAGGTCACGCGGCCACTCGCCTCCTGCAACGCCTGGCTCAACGCCCTCCTGTACTTCCTGACCGGGGACAACGGCGCCCCCTGCTGCTGGCCGGCGGGGCGCAGCGTCCGCCGGGCTCCCTGCCGCCGCCGCCGGGCCGCCGCCCTCTGGTGGCCCCTGAAGGTCCTGAGGAAAGACGGCCCGGCAGAGGACGACCGGGAGGCGTCGGAGAAGATGGAGAGGGCGCCGCCGCACGCAGAGAGCGAGTCCAAGTCCTCCAGGGTGGTCTTCTAGGAGGTCTGTGGTTTCCTGGGAAACGCCTTCAAACAGGAAGACTGTGAATTTAAAGAAGCTCACATCCTCGCCGTCACTTAAAAAAATATACAAACACAGCAAGCAGATAAACTGTTTAATGAATCAGCAAAGATAAATCAACTTTAAATGGCTTCTACCATGATTGGACTTGAAAAGAGGAACAAGAAATGTGAATCCGGATAAGATTCAAATATTAAAAAATAGCTAGCATCAAGCTTTAAATGATTTTTTTTACATTTATCTGAATGCTCTGTATCTTCAGTTTAGTGAGACGTGCACGAGATAAAAGAACTCCGTTGACTTGTGTTTCTAAATATAGTAGTACAGATTTGTATTACTTATTTTTAGTCTTATATGTTAATGGTTTTACAACAAAGAGACTTTTTAAAGTGTGAAATAAAAATAATGAACTCACTGAACTCTCGCTCGTTCATCCTTTTCACTGATAATGAGTTAAGCTAAGTTAGCTGGCTAGCTAACACGTTGTTATCTTTGCATTCACTAACATGGTTTTAGTACGTTGAGTTATTCAGCTCTGTGATAACGTCGTCACGCAGGACGGGATCCAAAGACAATCAACACTTCATTCTAGACTTTGTTTATTTATTTCTATAAAGTTGATATTTAAAAGGTGTCTATTCCCCGATCAATTGATCTGCTCCCACCGGTCCTCCCCGATCAGCTTGTAGTTGCGTCCCCGGTAGTCCACCGAGTTAAAGCGCCTCTGGCGCCACACCTCCTCGTACAGACCGCGCACGGCGGGCGGCAGCGGCGTGAAGCCGGCGGCGCGAGCCAGCGACTGACAGTAATCCCACTGCTCGTTCTGCAGCACCAGCAGGTGGCGCCGTTGGACCCCTTGCTCCGCCTTCTCACGCAGCGCCAGCCAGGCCTCGTCCTCCCGCACGGCCCGAGGCGGCAAAGAGACGACGCCCTCCAGCACAGCCAGCGCGAACTGCACCTGAAGACCAGAGACGGGGTCAAACAAAGCCTGAAGACCAGAGACGGGGTCAAACAAAGCCTGAAGACCAGAGACGGGGTCAAACAAAGCCTGTAGACCAGAGACGAGGTCAAACAAAGCCTGAAGACCAGAGACGGGGTCAAACAAAGCCTGAAGACCAGAGACGAGGTCAAACAAAGCCTGAAGACCAGAGACGGGGTCAAACAAAGCCTGAAGACCAGAGACGGGGTCAAACAAAGCCTGAAGACCAGAGACGGGGTCAAACAAAGCCTGAAGACCAGAGACGAGGTCAAACAAAGCCTGAAGACGAGGGTCAAGCCAAGTTTATGCTTCTGCGTCTACGAGCGGACGGAAGTAACGTTAGCGCACCGCCGTTAGCACACCGCCGTTAGCACACCGCCGTTAGCACACCGCCGTTAGCGGCTCGTTAAACCACTGATTTTGTGGATGGAGTCGGAGTGACAACAAAGAGGTGAAAATAGAAACACATTAACATAAAACACTCACGGTTCTGATACTTTAAATACATTTTACCGTGATAAAGTATTCATATTTGTAACAGAGCAGCTTTATAATCGTTTTGAAATGTTCACTCTCGACCTCCGTTATTTGGTTTGGGATCATTTAATCTTTGTATGTAGGGTTCATACAGCTGCAGTAAAACATAACAACTCAGAGGTCAGAGGTCAGCCCCTCACTCCTCTGGCTCGTACCTGGCAGTGGAAGTTGGGGAAGGGGCAGATGAGCTTGCACATGCCGATGAAGAAGAGCGAGGGGAAGGCCGGAGGCATCATGAAGCGGTACAAGGGTGACAGCAGGTGGTCCTCAATCCGCAGGCCCAGCTGAGGCCCGTCCAGGTACGGGAAGCGGAAGTTGTAGCCGGTGCAGAACATCAGGATGTCGGCACCAGACACGGAGCCGTCCTGCAACATGAGACCAGAGCTCAGGATGCGGGGCAGGAACCAGGTGGGCCTCACTAACATAAATATTCCTACAGCGTCTTATTGGTACTTTTACTCTGAGGAAGTATTGATACAGTGTGGTTTAAGTATACACTAGTAAATATATTTATTCTACTAGATGGAGAATAAAGAGAATAAATCAGCATTTGATTCCAACAGCAACAGCTACTTGTTTCATGGTCAGGAGTTTCACAATAAAAGCACCGTGGAATCAGAAGGTTAGTCGGCTGATCTCATCAGTTTAAACGTCTTCCATCAATATTTACTGAACAATAATCAATTTCACATGTAAATAGAAAATATGGAGTATAGATTAAATAGTGAATAGTGAAAAAGAAGAAGATCAGCAGCTGGTCACATGGTGTAGAGTTCAGTGACCTGGAAAAGGAGGCGACCGTCCTCCTCCACCGCCACCACGGGACACGACTGTTGAACCCCGGCAGGTAGAGGACAGGTGAGCGGAGGCTGGCCATGACTCAGAGTCACCTGGGGGAGAGAGACTCAGGTGATCCTGATACATCTGTGCTAGTTGTTCACATGAGGGAGTTCACGTTAGCTAACATTTGTTATCGATAGCTACTCAACGACAACTAGCTTACGTGAGCTATTTAACGTTAGCTAGTTAACATCAGCTAGTTTATGTCAGTGATTCTGTACAACAGTCCTGTTGAAAACGGAGCTAACAGCTAGCACTAGCACTCAGGTGCTTATGCTACTAGAGTTAAGCTATTGTTACCTGAGCTCCGACCCCGGCCAGTTCGATTGAGATGTCCAGTCCCGAAGCTTTGGCTCCCAGAACCACCACCGACTGACCCGCGAACGGCTCCGCAAATTTGTACGAGTGGCTGTGGAGCACGGTTCCTATGAGGAGAGAGGGGGTAGCGTAGCTTAGCTTAGCAGAGTGGGCAACTGTTAGCATAGCAAGACAGTCCGAAATACTTACTGCTATACTTTTGGTGATTTAAGAGCTTTTTTCTTCATAAAAACAGACAATTCAAATGTTAAGGAAATACAATTGTCTTTTATATGTTTAATGCTGTATAAAAAGGCACAGATCAGAATTAATATCTGTTTTATATTCAGGTTTTTTTTTGCAATTCATCACCAAAACTACATTTTACAGATGACACCAGAACGCATCGTGATAATGTTATAATGTCTAATTCACACACCACTAACATTTAGTGTTACAGTGAAGATGAAGCATAAATATTAGTGAATGTACCTTTGAAGCGTTCTATTCCCGGGATGTCAGGGATGTGAGGATCAGAGTAGTGCCTTAAACAACCACAACACATTTAATATGACAGGAGGTAAATTACTTTCATTAAGTACAATAAAGTACATTAAAACGGAAAGTCTTTTATTTTGAGGACTCATTTTACCCCGAGCAGACGAAGATCGAGTCGAAGGCTTCTGTTTTACAACAACCTGAAGCATCCGATGATGTCACTTCCCACAGTGTCCGGTCCTCCTCTTTGCTGCGCTCCGTCGCCGTGACGACGGGTCTCACTTTCTCCACCATCGTGTTGAACTGACAAAAACAGAGAAAACAATTCGTGTGATTATTTTGTTGATTCATTAAAGTTAAAGTACTGATCAAACGTATATCTGCATTAATGTTTACGTTGCATGTGAACTCCAAGCAGTGGCTTGTTAGTTTAGGACAGGGTTTCTCAAACTGTGAGGCGCGGCCCTCCAGTGGGCCGCAGTGGTATTGCAAGTTGGTCGCTTGGGGGAAATTCTAAATGATTTTTTTCAAGAACTATTGAGAATTTCCCATCATACAATAGTACAAAGTTGCACGCTTGTTAGTTTTCCTTTGAACCTGGTTGTTTGTGTGTGTCTGCATGACTCACACAAACAACACATGAAGCATCTTTGGACAATTCAAATCCAGGCCGACGTTCACGTTAATTACATTATGATGCGTTCAGGTTTAAGGTCCCTAAAGTCCCTTTAATGAAGGTTATTCAGTCTCTTTGAATAACCTTTATTCGGCAGTTTAACAATGTTAATGAGTAGAATTGTGATCCATCTGTTCACTGTTGATTCATTGACTGTAGGAGCCTTTCTTTGAGGCTTTGGCTCTACTCTGTTACCACTCACCCGGATGTGAGGCCCGATGTGGTGGCTCTGGCAGTACCTCTCCAGGTACCTCTGGACCTCCTGGTGGGGCAGGAAGCTGTCCAGCTGGGGGTCAAAGGGGAAATCAGGGAACATCATCACCTCCTTGGGGAGGTTGGTCCTGTGGGGGGAGACAAGAAGGACGAGAAGGACGGTTCTACTGAGGTCTGGACCAGAGGAACATGGAAGGACAACACTGTCTGTAATGATAGGAAGCACTTTAAGACTGGACATGTACCAATGCTATACTATATTATACAATATATATATATATATATATATATATATATATATATATATATATACACAAAGGTTACCAGAAACAAGTTCAATTCAATTCATTTTATTTTGTAGAGCCCAAAATCGCAAATTTTACAGTTTACATGTGAGAAACCTCAGAGGAGGATCCGTCTCCTGATGGACCACAATGATGTCACGAGTACAGAATGAACAATGTAGACGATGAACAAGACATTCAGTTCATATGAGAGAAATGTTTCGAATATTAGTTAAGCAGGACCCTCTTGCGATAGAACCCCCGTCCTATAGAACTACCATGGAGAGAGAACCACTTTCTTAAAGAACCCCCTGAGACAAACCCCCCTTCTGATAGAGCCCCTTGAGAGAGAACCCCTTCCCATAGAACCACCGTCACATAGAACCACCATGAGACAGAACCACCATCACATAGAACCACCATCACAAAGAACCACCACCACATAGAACCACCATCACATAGAACCACCATGAGACAGAACCACCATCAAATAGAACCACCATCACAAAGAACCACCATGAGACAGAACCACCACATAGAACCACCATCACAAAGAGCCACCACCACATAGAACCACCATCACATAGAACCACCATCAAATAGAACCACCATCACAAAGAACCACCACCACATAGAACCACCATCACAAAGAACCACCACCACATAGAACCACCATCACATAGAACCACCATGAGACAGAACCACCATGAGACAGAACCACCATTTGTTGGGGAGGTGTGCCGATGTGAGCGTTTGGGGACAGAGGATGTCACATGTGTACAGACTGTAAAGCCCTCTGAGGCAAATCTGTAATTTGCAATGTTGGGATGTACAAAATAAAATGATTTTGAATAGAATAGATAGAACCAGCAGCCACGGAAGCCTGTTGGGAGGGAAAGTACAAAGAATTTGGGAAAGAAGCAAAGTTAGTGATGCATCCATGTTGCCAGTAACAGTGATATTTCCAATGCTGATGTGAGAGCAGCAGCAGTGTCAGCAGGTTCATGTCAGGAGGCAGGAACAGGCTCACTGAAGCAGAAGAATCACCTCTTTAAACATCAGATAAACACCTACTATCCGATATGTATTGACTGTAGAAACCTTTGCCCAGAAGAGCACGTTCTGGTAGTAGGAATCATTATTTATTAGACAATGGTCCAACAAGAGAGGGTCCTGTGGAAAGAGGGTTAAATGTTCCGTCCACCAGAACCAAGTCGAGGATGTGGTTAAAACAATCAGTTGAATCTAATAATGACAGAAATGAAGTACCACGAATGTTAAAATCACCCACAATAGTTACTTTACTTGTTTTAAGGACCAAACATGTTAAGAAATTCAGATCTAAACTCTAAATACTGACCCGGGTCACTGGTTAGTCCTGGTGACCCGGTGAGAGGATCCAGTACCGACCTGAGGTCCCGGTACATGCTGCTGTGGATGGGACGTCCCGCCCCGTCGGTCCCGACCCTCTCGTCGTAGCACCAGGTGCCCCCGACTTTGCCTCCGAGTTCGAACAGCACCGGGGGGGCGAAGCGGTCGAGGCGGGACAGGATGTGCCGGGCGGCACAGAGACCCGCCGCCCCCGCACCAACCACTGCCACGCGCTGCAGGATCATCTTCTGACTGGCAAAGAGAATCCACTTTATACTGAATGCTAAATAAATTAATAATCATAATCTCATTTAAAAACACATTTCATTCTGCGTGAGGAGTCCTTCTAATTCTAAGGTGTCAAGTACATTATGGTGATTTTACTTGAAGTTACTGCGGGGAACTTGGGGGGGTCAGTCGCCCCTGTGGACCAAAGTGGTAGTGCCTCTCGTGGAGGATCTGGGTCTGTTCCCGGTGGACTGGTCTCTGGTGGAGGATCTGGGTCTGTTCCCGGTGGACTGGTCTCTGGTGAGGATCTGGGTCTGTTCCCGGTGGACTGGTCTCTGGTGAGGATCTGGGTCTGTTCCCGGTGGACTGGTCTCTGGTGGAGGATCTGGGTCTGTTCCCGGTGGACTGGTCTCTACTGGAGTCTGAGCTGGAGGAGGATCCAGTGAACCTGCATGATGTCATCTGGTTTCACCAGAATCGGACCCAGTGGCACCGATGACATCATGAAGAAGAACTAGACCATCTCCTCTCTCGTGGTCTCGTTCCTCAAAGTTCCCCACAGTAACTTTAAGTAATATTTCGAATGCATTTTGAATTTAATTGTAGTTTTTCTGAATGTGTTTTTGTTCACAGGTGGTTTTGGGAGCATCATTAAATAACTGAACTAAAACTAATAACTAATGAGAGCACTAATATAAGTTCACTGTTGGATCATCAAAGCATCACCAGACATTTCAAAATAAAATAACGTGACGTAGTACTTCTCACCTTCACATGCTTCAATACAATTCATAGTCACTTAAGTTCTATAAGTGATGATGAGTCAGGTCCGTGCACCTTTTGATAGTTTGTTTCAACGTTTAAGCGGAAATATCACTGTTTTTGCACGGATGTCCAAATCCAAAAACACCAGATTTTTACTTATGTAAACTTTTGGGTTTTTGCCTTTAAAACGAAATACGAAACCGGAAGTATGTATATTTTCACACTAAAGGTCAACGCAATAGAGTTTGTATGCTGGAAATGTGTCGGTGGTGCGAGTATGTACCATGGTAACATTAGTTCATTAATCAATAGTGTAGATATTTCATGTTTAGGGCTCATTTGCAACCATTGTTTAACATTGTATAACCATTGTTGTACATATTGTCATAATTATTTCATTTAACAACCAACCATACCTCCAAGCAAGAGGGATTATTCGTTGATCACAATGTAATACATTATTAAAAATAGAGACTTTGGTTTATTTCTATAAATAAACCAAAGTCTCTATTTTTAATTGTATACACAGTATAGAGAAATGATCTTATATATACACACTGCCACCTACTGGTAGAGATGGGAACATGTTTCCTCTGCTCTGCAACATATATTCATGTTGTAATCATCTCCATGTGGTTGTTGGAATATCTATAGATCTATGCAGGTAGGTAATGATTTACTACTGAAGGCCCAGAGACAGATGACCAGACATAATAAAACTCCCAGCATGCACGGCTGTAAAGATATGGATACAGAAGAGTCTTTGCCTAAAGGCCCAGGGGGAGACCGTGTAGGGACGCTAGCAGGGACAAAGGTCACTTGAGTGGGTTTGTAGACGCTAGCACAGACTGAATGGGGGGGGCAGCGAGATAGGGTCAACCGGCCAGAATGAGGGAGACAGGCGGCATCAAAATACCAGACGAGCGGGGGGGGGCTAGTGGGGGGGAGGGGGAGGATAGTGAGGAAACATCTTTAGTAGCAGTTAGGACAGAGGGGAAGATTTCCATTCAATCGAATGTTCAAGGAAATGTCAAAACTAAGGTGTTGTATCAGAAGGCCAGAGTCTTTCCAGAGAGCTCGGTTTATTTGGGGATGTGCTGCTCGAATGAATCTCTGTGAAATATAAGAGTTTCATTGTGCAGAATAATTTGTTAACTGTAGACATGACAAAAAATCTCTGTCATCATTTATATTCGTTAATGAACTTTTCCTCTAATGTTACTCTGGTACGTTCTCGCATTACACACCAACTTCCAGCATATAAACTTTCTCTTGCAGTTGACTCTTACTGTGAAAATGTACGCACTTCCGGTTTAGGGGCTGCGCTTCATATTTCGTTTTATAGGCAAGAAACAAAAAAGAATTAACCAAAATAAAAGTCAGTTGACAATCCTTTCTATTTTCGTGTAGTGTTTAATTAAACGTTAAAACAAACTATAAGGTACATGGACGATATCAACATATTTTGTATACATCTTTTCTTAAATATGTGAAGATGTAAATGTGCATTGAATGATTAAAGACACTTACCGGCTCGCGAGGACTCTGCGCTGCGGAGTAAACCTGTGAGTGAAATCACGGGTTTCAATTAGATTGCAGATGAGGTGCCCCGTTGCATCAGGGGTAATAAACTGTTTGTAGCGTTGCATTCTGGACTTTGATCTGGGTCACAACGCGGCAGGCTGTGTTAGCCGGTACATGCTAGCATGTAACAAGTAACAGTCCTCACCCCGTTACATGTAACGGTCGACACATGTTACATAACACGGTTACATGTGCCTAGTAAATGGTGCAATGCGCTCCTCAACGACATCAGAACGTGTAGACAGATGGAGACACACCTGTACCTGGGTTAGTTAGCCCTTTATTATCACTTTATTAGCTCTTACTTTGTCTGTCTTACTTTGTCTTGCACTTTGTCTTTCTTGAAGACTTTGCACTTCCTTGGTTCTTGTGGCTCTGGTTCTGGTCCCTCTGGACTCAATGCACTCTTTGTAGGTCGCTTTGGATAAAAGCGTCACTTAAATGAGAAATGTAAATGTAACTTTAATGTAGAATCAATGACGGAGGTGTAGCGATAAAAACAGCTCCACTGGTAGGCGGTTCCAGCACACGTCACGCGAACCACTTCCTCCGCGGGTCCTTCAGAATAAAAGCGAAGGCGCCTCAAAATCAAAACGAGGGAAAACAAAAATGTTTTCATTGAATAATGATTCGTTCTTTTTCAATAAATAAAAACACAGCTACATATTGAAATTAATAATACAATTAAACGACAAGTTGCAATTGATATGTAAATAAAATATAAATGTATCAATTATTTATGAAAAACGTGTTTTAATTTCAAAGAAATACCAAGCAGAAATATTCTCCATTTTACTGATATAAAATTGTATTTGTGCCCTATTGCATGTTTGGTAAAATATCAAATGTGAATCATTATTTATCTCAGCAATGAAGCCATGAAATACATACATTAATATTGACAGAATTCCCAAGTCATTGAACATTAAAAGAAACGTAAAAGATATATCAATATCAAACATTTTATTACCAACAAAGTCAAAACAGTTGAATTTTTCAAACTCTTAACAAAAGTAATCATGAAACTGAATCGTCTGTCATAAAAAAATAAACATGTTGGAGCTTCAGGAGAAAACGCCAATAAACAAAACCCTTCCGTTTAATTTATAACAAGTTCACACAGAGCATCAGTATCAGGAATAAGCATATTATAAGATGTATAATATGATATCATATATTATACAACATGATTCTAGATATTATTTTAGATACTATATTATTTTACACACTATTATTTTATATCATATTCAACTATAAAATGATATCATGTCATAATAGGGCACTTTTTAAATACTATATCAAATAATCATATATAATATCAGTATCATGTAGCAGATTGTATTACAATATATTACCATACAAAATATTTTATATTATAATATATTTCGTTTGATATCACATTATATTCAAATATAATATAGCACTGATTACTGGTCAACGTCTCAATCGGGTCATATTTCAGGGATCCGAATCTAGAACGTTTCTTTGTTTATGTCAAATAAAAAGCCAGAATATCGTCCGTTTCAAACACCCACAGATCCGTTGCCGGCGCTCCGGTCACTTGGCGGCGGCGTTGGCGTGCGGCGGCGCCTGCTGCTGCTGCGGCGGCTGCTGCTCGGCGAGCGCCTGCTGCAGCCGCGTGCGTTTCCTGGAGTAGTGCTGCCAGTGGAGCAGCTGCTGCTCGTCGATGAACTTGGTGCACTGAGCGTTCACCAGCTCCTTCCGGAAGTGTTCGTACTGCAGCAGCTCCAGCATGTGGAGGCAGTGTGGGTACCTGGGGGGGGGGGGGGGGGAGGGCACGGTGAGAGACCTCACGTAACCTACTTACATCAGTGCAAGGGTGCAACCACACATTCCTTCGGGGGGGGTTGTGTCCCCCCCAATATTGATAAAATACCAATCTGTCCCCCCCAATATACAGCAGCGTCCAGCGGACCCCCCCAATTTCTAAACCATGGTGTTCTGATGCACATGATCCAATAGTCTTTTTATCACATGAAGGTGTCCTTCGTGGGGGGAGAGCTTCCTTTACTAGCTCCTTTAGCAGCTTGTGAAACCAAGGGATGCTAAAGGAGCCAGTAAAGGAGGACAGCTCTTATCATGAAGGACACTTTATGAGCTAAAACGGACTTTGTGATTGGTCGACCACATTAGGCTGGTAAAGGCTTTATTTAGTATGAATAACAGAACGTGTGTTACTTGAGGAACTTGGCGTACTCGGGCTCCTTCCAGTACAGCAGGTACTTCAGGTAGTTAATGAAGCTTCTCTCCCTCAGGAAACCTCTCTGGGCCAAAACTGCACAGACACAAACAAACAAACAAACAAACAAACAAACTGAAGTCCTTTGATCACAAACTCTCGTCAGGGTGAAACGTGAAGGAGGATTCGTGAGGCCGTCACTCACAGTTGAGGTAGTTCGGGTTGGCCAGACACTGAATGAACTCCAGCTCCGACTGGAAGCGGTTCCTGGCCTGCTCCTCTGGACAACAACAACAACAACAACAACAACAACAACTGACTCTGACATTCCACCGGTCACTTTCTTTCTCACTGCACACGTCACTTTCTGTTTGCTGGTGCACTTTTAACTTGAACCTGTATTTTTAAACACGTACTACTGAGCCAAAGCATTAGATGCTATTTAAGCCCCGTCGTCCTGCCGGTCAGCTGATGAGCAGCACCAACACGAAGGTGTCAGTGCGATTCTGGGTGAGGAGGTGACCGAGGTCTAAACCCCAAAGAGCTGAAAGGACATTACAGAAATGCCCCCCAGATGCTTTATTCATGACAACAACAACAACAACCGATAGTGACTTTGAATGAATGTGTTCTGTTGTAAATGCGATGTATGCTCTGGAACGTGTTAATAAAAGAAGCCATTTAACGACGCAGGGATGCGAAGAAACTCAGTAGAATAAAATCATTCGCATGTGAATTGAACGTAACTTAACGAGTCAGTGAGCTTTTCACTAAACGGGGACGATGAAGCTCAGACGATCGTCTTCATCGCGCTACAAGCTCATTGGTGCTGAATGAGACACATTTACTGAACATAATATTCATCCAAGGCTTCTCCGTACATGACGAACGCTAGCAAGCTGCTATACTATAGCGTTAGCTCAGTTAGCCACACGGCTACAAACCTGTTTCCATGGCGACGGCCGATGACGTTAACGAGCCTGAAACCGTCTTAAACTTAATCTACACCGATGAACTAGTCAACATACGAGCGTCGGTCTTTGTTGTTTTGCTGTACAACAAATCAAATGGCGTGAAGCCGTCCTGCCGGAAAGCAGTTCTCTGTTTGCGACGCTTCACGGTGGTTTACGGCAGCTGCTGTTCGTCTTGTGACCGCAAGAGGGAAACATTTGACAACAAAGCGATGATTAATTAACCTGTTAGTTCAGGAATCGCAGACTTGATTTAAATATGATTCATAACACAATGAATAGATTTTCAGACATCTAATGAGACATTTGTTCCGGTCCTAATGTAAAACCAAACTAGAATAAACCTTTACAGCAGTGAAAGTACTAATGTACTGTAAAGTACTGTAAAAGTACTAATGTACTGTCAAAGTATCTGAATGTAGTTCAACGAAAAGTTGAATGTAATTAAAGTAAAACTAGTTTAATGTTGTATAAGAAAAATAAACTAAATTCTATTCTAGTCTATTCTTAATGTAGTTAAGGTAGTGATTGATATGATGTAAAATGTTTACTATATACTCTTTCCAACCTGTCGAATCTACATTAATGAAATTAATCTCTAACACTCGTCTTCTGTCACGTTACTTTTGCAGCTTTTTTTCAGCTTTGATCAAACAATCAACAGTTTGTTGTCACAAACAATTTTATTTTTTAACACCAAATAACAAGATACAAAACTCTGTAGGTTCAAATGTGTACAGTTAGCATTCACTCACACATTAATATGTAGAAACTCCAAAAAAATAGACCTACTAATATATTTTCTAATTATTAATGCATCAAGAGTTTGTACACTGATTTAACATCTTAAAATAGAAATGACATCTGTAAGTTAGAGATACTGAATAAAAGAGTCTGTTCCTTAGTTTGAGTACCGTTTCAAGGTTTTAGCGCCAAGTCAGACATAACTCTGCATTGCCATTGTTTCATTACTATATTTTAATTATATTTCATCCTGTTTTCTTTTAAACTCAAAATGTTGCATTTTTCACAGAGTCAGTAGTATTTATTCACAGCATTGATTCCGTATTGCCAATTAAATATCTTCGGTCTAATACTGTAATCACAATCGTTTCAAGAAAAAGCTCTTCAACCAGCTCAGATAAAAAATCCCTCCCGTTCTAAATTCAGAGCTTTTATTTTGAAAAACCTGCTTGTGGCATAGAATGAATTTTAAAAAACCCTATGAAGAAGGTAGGAGCAGACACCAAAACATCAGCAGCGAGAAGCTCCACATGTAAAGTCAAAGTTGTGGTTCTGGTGAGGCTCAGAACCACAACCATCTGCCACGAGCTGAGGTATGAAAATAAAGAAGCACCCGGAACCCCGAACCCGAGGCTGAGGCAACAGGTCGCACGGCTCGCTACACGGGCGAGGTGGCGTTGGCCCAGGCGGGGAACGAGTCCAGGCCGAAGATCACGTGACCCCAGCTGTTGATGGCGAGAGTGATGCAGCCGACTCCGATGACGTTCATCACTACGCCGGTTCTGGCCTGCAGGGTGCGCAGAGGAAGCGGTTATGACCACGGACTTGATATAAGCTGCCATCTAATTTTCATGAGCGAGTGAACAGGAAGTGACCACATCTGGACCGAGAAGGATGTAGAGATGCCGTATACTTCTCAGTCGTCGTGGCGCAGCGGTTAGAGCTGGTGTGCTGGGAAGCACAAGGTTGATGGTTCGATTCCAGGCTGCCCCATGTTCCATGTCGAAGTGTCCCTGAGCAAGACACCTAACCCCTAATTGCTCCCCAGGCAAAAATGTAAGTTGCTCTGCCAAATGACATGTAATTTAATGTTCTCAGGTAGGGACCTGTGTATTTGCGTGTAGCCCCGCCCTGAAGCGTCCCCTGCTCTATGGTCTGTTTGTCTCTTAATGGACCATCATTTACTAAATGAACATCACGCTGTATTGAAGAAGACTTGAAACTAGAGACTGAGACCATAAACTCATGTTTACTGAGGGAATAAATCAAGAGATAGACGTCAAGAGATAGAGATAGAAATCAAGAGATAGACGTCTATGGGAGCAGAGGAGTCGCCCCCTGCTGGTCACTACACAGAAGTAGAGTCATTTCCTCATAGACGTCTATGGGAGCAGAGGAGTCGCCCCCTGCTGGTCACTACAGAGAAGTAGAGTCATTTCCTCATAGACGTCTATGGGAGCAGAGGAGTCGCCCCCTGCTGGTCACTACAGAGAAGTAGAGTCATTTCCTCATAGACGTCTATGGGAGCAGAGGAGTCGCCCCCTGCTGGTCACTACAGAGAAGTAGAGTCATTTCCTCATAGACGTCTATGGGAGCAGAGGAGTCGCCCCCTGCTGGTCACTACAGAGAAGTAGAGTCATTTCCTCATAGACGTCTATGGGAGCAGAGGAGTCGCCCCCTGCTGGTCACTACAGAGAAGTAGAGTCATTTCCTCATAGACGTCTATGGGAGCAGAGGAGTCGCCCCCTGCTGGTCACTACAGAGAAGTAGAGTCATTTCCTCATAGACGTCTATGGGAGCAGAGGAGTCGCCCCCTGCTGGTCACTACAGAGAAGTAGAGTCATTTCCTCATAGACGTCTATGGGAGCAGAGGAGTCGCCCCCTGCTGGTCACCACACACAGAATGCAGCTTTAACTCATGAAGCTTTGATTTTGACTCACCATGTCGGACACTTTGAGGAAACCATAAGAGAAGACAATGGCGTTTGGGGGTGTGGCCACGGGCAACATGAAGGCGAAGGAGGCGCTGAGGGTGCAGGGGATCATCACGTATAAAGGGTTCAAGCCGATCGATTGGGACTGGGTTGGAACACAATGATCAGTATCAATAATCAGATTATTGACTTATTATTTAAAAAATCCACCAAATAATCCCTTTTATTTTCATATTTTCACAAACACGGGTGTCAGTCACTCATCCATTTATGTGTCCTTTGCTTTACAGTTTTTTCTGTCGTTGTGTAGTCAAGTGGAACTTGCTTCAGTCATCCCTCCTGTTCTTGACAGGCTTTTAATGTGAAACATCTACAGGAGGTCCAGTAACCCAACAGTGACTAAAGAAAGCTTCGACGCCTTGGTTACCATGGATGCCAGGATGGGCAGGAAGAGTGTTGCCGTGGCGACGTTGCTGGCACACTCTGTGAAGGTGGCGACGAGGAGGCAGAGGACGACGGCGATGGCCCACGGCGGGATGGAGTGAAGGGGGGTCATTTGAGCACCGAGCCAGCGGGACAGACCGGACTCCTGACACACACACACACACACACACACACTTTTCTAAAGAAATTCTTACTTTCAAAAATGGCCTTTCTCCCTGAGAAGCTTAAAGTCACCTCGCTGCCTTTAGCCAGTGCGAAGCCGCCTCCGAGCAGCAGCACGATGCTCCAGGGCATCTTCTTCTGAGTCACCTGCCAGGTGAGCAGCGCAGGGGTGGGGCCTTGTGACACCTGGGACTCTGATTAGATAAAACAGAAAGTGGGTTACCTATGTTTAGAATCTGTGTGTGTTACCTGTGTGTATCACCTGTGTGTATCACCTGTGTGTATCACCTGTGTGTATCACCTGTGTGTATCACCTGTGTGCATTACCTGTGTCAGAGCTCCTCCAGAAGCAGAGGTAGTGCGGGGGCTTTGAAGGGAGAACAAAGAGCAGAACAGCAACAAACAAAGCGACGGTCGCGTCAGTTACGAACCTGCAAAAAGAGAATTTATTTTATTTTGTATTTTTTTTAGAATTGACTAACGAGCATCATCACAAAATGATCATATGAGAAGCCGTTGATAAAAACACACGTTTTGATCAACGGCTTCTCAGATGACCTCATCCAGGTCACATGATGCAACACCGGCCACTCAGATCATGAATGGAGATTTCATCAGTGATTATTCATATTTGCAAATGGAGATCCACCTCCTGTTTACTTTGTGTGGGAGTACCTGAGCAGGTAGTATGCTGTCACTTTTATCTTTCTTTACTTCCATAAATCCAGTTAAATCACTAGAGGTGAAAATCCAATATTTATTTTGGCATCAGCTGACTGAGCTTCTCTATCAAGCCATTAGGAAACATGTTGAAATCATCCGTTTGCACAACCTGAAGGTTCAAGGTGACAGATTCTTTTGAACTTGATTAAACCTGTGTGATTTTGTGGTTTTATTTAACTTAGATAAAACTAAGGGGGTTGCGTTGATTAAAAATATATAAATAAATCCCTAAAAAGAAGAATGAGCCATATGGAGCTTTGATCTCAGATGGAAATCTAAATAAAATGTGTTTCTGCGCAATAAGTGATGGCACATTTCCAGGAACATGGAGGAAGAAACTTCCAAAGGTTGATCAAATAGGTTCTGAGAAGTGGCGTTCTGAACAAAAACATCAGTGAGGACAAACAGATCAATGAGTCTCCTGAACTGGTCACGTGACTCACTCCAGCTTTTGTGAATTGACACTTGATGAGGTCACTATGACGCGTAAGCATGGACGTCCTTTCTGTAGCTGCTCAGAGCAGCTTCTACAGGGCCTCAGGTTCTGGGTGTCTGCTGTAACTAGTCACAGTGATAACTAGCTAACTGGGTATCAAGCTACATCTCTAGCTAGCTAGCTATCTAATTTATTAACTAGTTAGGAAGCAAACTAGCCACATGTTTAACTAGCTACCAAGCTGCCTACCTGCATTGCTAACTAACTACTACCCAACTATATACTGACCTAGTTAGCTAAATTAACTATTTCCAGACCCAGCCAGCGGAAGCTAGTATTGCCCTCACACAGACACACGCAATTTGATTTCCGTTTTTTTGTTTTAAAAGAGTTAGTAATGTTAATTCATACATGTCAACGTATCTACATGTCAAATCTCAGCAATATATATAAAGATTTTCCCTCTAACTTCAGCAGGAAAGTTACTTTGATGAGAGAAAGCAGCAGACTCACTCGGGAGATGGTCAGGCAATTGTATCTTATCGTGATATCTTATTGTGAAAGGACAAAATTGGCTTCCTGGATGTGTTGATAGTATTGATGTAATTCTGGCGACCCTTTAAACACTATTTAATGTCCCTGAAAAACAAATGTTACAATGGCGATGGACGTCTGGTCAGGGCAAGACCTGCGCACGGCTAGTTCACCGGCGTTAGCGTCCTTTTACCGACTCTGGTTAAGAACCTTCTAACTAACTCAGAATTGAAACAGTATTTGGCTCGACAGGTAAGGTAGTAACGCTTACTTCAACACCATTAAATCACCCAAAAACATTACACGATCATTTTTTTCAATAGTTTTACCGGATAGTTAGCTAAAAGTGTCTGGAAACCGTTACGTTAGTAAACTAGTTATATTTCTAACTAGCTACATATCTAACTGACTAAATCTCTAACGAGTTGCTTAGCTAGCTATCTAGCATGATATTTTACTAGCTACCAGCTACACATCTAACTAACTAGTTAAGTAACTAAAAGTATAATTATATACGCAGAGCCTTTTAACTTTAAGCTTTTTACAAGTTATTTAATGTCCTGTTTTCGGGCCCAACTGCTGTAGTTTTTTAGTTTTACACGGGACATAAACTGCGATCTACTGGGTGAAAGTTGATGTTTGATTAATCCGTCACTTTGCAGTTTCTATAGTCATTTCCTGCAGTTGTAAACCTTTAAACCTCGTTTAACCTTTCCTGTTCAGATTAAGTTTGGGTTATATGAAATAAGCTTTAAGGGATGTTTTACACATCGGTATTGGAATCGTACTGCAAAGTTTTCGGTTAAAGCTCTGCATTTAGGATGTAGAATCTTTTACTTATTAACAGTAAAAACCTATAACCTATAACTAATGTTATAACGGCCAGACTCTGAACTTGTGGCAAGTTATGTCCTCATGTTAGGAGTGGATGACGCCTAATAGAGTGAAAGGTGAGAATATGTGTCCGGGTCAGAACCACCCAGAGTTTACAGTTTGTACCCAGGACACGTTTGTCTGTTTGCCCTTCGCCTCCAATTCCTGTGTGTTCATGGGTCTATTTGCCCCAACAAGGTCGGCCTAAAACAACACTTTAGGTTAAGTCTTCTTTTTCCATTGAACATTAATGCAGGACCAGAGCTGAATACACACAAAAACACACACTTGCAAAGAAATGTGTGTTTCTGTTTCTGTTAAAGGAAAACTCCAGACAGCCGTTTAAAGATTAACCAAATAGGCCGACATGTGGAAATGACAAAAAATGCCTTTTAGAACCTAAAAAAAGACTCAACGTTTGTCTTTCTCTTCTTTGAACACAGAATTTATCCAACCACATATTTTCTCAAAGCGTTGAATCAGTGTTAATGGTGTTCTTTCGATAGCAATGTTAACACTGTGTTTTTCTATTTTTTTAATAATAATAGTTCCAAGCTACGAGAGAAAGAAGCTGAGCCAACATTGCTGAAGATATGGTAAATGGTACATGGACTGTACTTGTATAGCACTTTTCTAGTCTTCCCACCACTCAAAGCGCTTTAACACTACATGACATCATTCACCCATTCACACCCATTCACACACTGATGACATCATTCACCCATTCACACCCATTCATACACTGATGACAGGAGAACCACACACAGTGACACCTGCCCATCAGTAACTAACATTCACACACTGTAGTCGCAGCTACAGGAGCCATGTTGGGTTAAGTGTCTTGCCGAAGGACACAACAACATGCGGGTTAGCAGAGCCTGGGATCAAACCCACAACCCTCTGATTGGAGGACGACCATGCTCCCCACTCACCCACAGTCGCCGAAGATTGGCTGCAAAACTGACACGGTTTGTTTAAATATCACAGTCAGTCACAAGTTTTTAAGACTAAAAACCGTGGCAATGATTCAGGTAATGCCATCAGACAGACAGCCCCGCCAAGCGTTGGTCACTTCGCCCGGCAGCACTCACTCAGCCTTGGCGTTGAAGAGGTGGGTGGACCAGCCGTCCATGAAGCGCGGGTCTCTGGTGAACCACAGCAGCACCATGAGGACGAGCAGTGCTAGGACGCTGACCTCGCCGTACGTTACCGGCCCCAGGCGCAGGTGCTCGTCTTGGATCGCCCCAAGCGCCGCTCGCTCCTTCTCCGTCTGCGGTGCCCGGCAGCCCCACGTCCTCCGCAGGCTGTATATAATGAAACAAAAGTTGATTTTAGTGCTCCGGTCCGGGATGGACGGCTTTTTTTGGGTGACTCACTTGCAGCCGACGTAGAGGAACTGCAGCCAGAACCAGGCCAGCAGCAGCGTCAGCATCATCGTGGGGAAGGCGAAGGCAAACCAGGAGGCAAAGTTGATCACGTCGCCGTTCCGAGGGAAGAGCCTGCGAGAGAGAACAAAGTCAACAGCTTAAGTTAATGGCCGACAAGCCTTCAACCCGAGTATCAGACTATGGAGTTAAGCAGGGAAACTACGACTGAGGGTTCACCTGATACTGTGTCCTGAATGCGAATCCCGGCGCGTTTCCACCGAGCGGTATGGTATGGTACGGGTCGGGTCTGTTAACCATGATTTGGCGAGCGTTTCCACCGCCAACAGTACCCTTACTTGATAGGCGTGGTGTATTCCAGAAACTGTGCCAGGTACCCCAACGGAAGGGTACCCAAAAAGTGGGACGGTAAAGTTCGGATTTTTGGTACCATTCTCAACTTTTGGCAGTGGAGACACAAATAAAAGGGTACCGACCCGACCCGTACCGTACAGTACCGCTCGGTGGAAACGCGCCATAAAGGTCCGTTTAGAACCGGACTCAGATCAAGATCAATGATGATGGTTGTGAAATTAAATCTGCTTGTAATGGAGACCTGAGCAACCTATCATGAAACCATCGAACAATTAGAGTCTAAAGTGAACTGCTCGTCTCCGTTGACTCGTCCTCCCTTCAACAAAGCAAAAATAAAGAACTAACTCTTGGAACCGGCATGTTAGTTCACTATGGTTTGCTGCTCAAAAGGTTTTAGTTCAAATTAAAAAGCTGTTTGAGACTAGTTTTAGTTATGAGAGTTTTAAATACTTCAAGAACAGGACCCAGAAGTTACGGTACAATGTTGGCCTTCAATTAAGTTTCTTTAACTGTAAAAACTTCAACCATTTCATTTTGTACAGCCCAAAATCGCAACAGTCTGCATACATGCAACATCCTCTGTCCCGAAACCCTCAAATTCTCACAGGACAGGAATCGCCACTAAATGAAAGTCTACTGATGACTTGAGTCTGAGCACTTACTGGCTCATCTGTCCCATCAGAACCAGGTTGGGTCCGGTGCCGGTCAGCGTTGCGATGCCGCCGATGCTGGCGGAGTAGCAGACGCACAGCAAGAGTCCTTTATTCAACTTCCTCCTGTCCTCTTCGTCCCTCAGCTCCTCCAAAACCATCTGACAGCAGACGTCTACTGGAGACACGTTCCACACATGATCCATCGGCTTTGGATGGATTTGAACCTTTTTTCCTCCCGAACAGCATTTAAGGAAATTTATCTTCACATTTCACTAAAATATACAGAATCGCTGACTTTTTCCCCCACATTTAATCTCCTTAATGGTCTCACCTTGTCCGCTGTTGATGCTGTCTGATGGAGGTTTGTCTCGTAGTGTTGGTTTGATGATCCCTTGCTGGTCGGTCTGAGCCTCGGAGGAGCACGAGTCGCTGGATTTTTCTGGGTTGCCTTGTGTGGTTTCCTTGTTCAGACCTGTAAGGAAACACTTCAAGTTCAGATGGTTTTAAGCCGCTGAATGTTTTACAAACTATTAAAAAATAGGACACAAACTTCTTCAAAACCTTTGAGACATTGTGGAATCAGAAACATCTGTAATTTTGCGGGACAATTCCTGCAGAGAAGGAACTTGCTAAATAAATGTCAATATCTTGCATGGCAATGTCTGCGGCACTGGAGTGAAGTATAAGATTCCTGGAAAGGTTACACATTTTCAGTGATGCATCTCACCCTTTTGGTTGATTGAGTCAACGCCCCCCACCGTATCTGCACATGGAAATCTATGTGGGTCCGGCAGGCAGATCAATCATACCGGTCTCAAGATGGTTAAAAGCAGTGGTTTTCTCCTGATGTTCTCGGTGTGGGTCGTCACTTCCTTCCTGGGTTTTGGAGGGTTTGGGGTCCACATCGCCATGGAGCTGTTCCAGTACGGCCTGGACGATCGGAACCATCATAGCAGTGGTGGCTGTGTTGCTGATCCACATGGACAGAAAGGCGGTCACCCCCATGAAGCCCAGCATCAACCTGGGTGATTACAAAAGGGGAAGATGGACAGAAAAATGTGACAACACTTGCAAAAGCAACCAGAGGACAGAACCGAAGGGAACGGAAGGAACAATGACCATTGACACAAGTTAATTAAGTACTGAGATGAATCACCGACAGTCAGGTGGAGACCTCTAGTTGTGAAGTATCTTGGGCGAATGGGAGTGAGTGGGTAGATGACAACATGTGACTTACAGGGCGGGTCGGACGCCAACCACCAGCAGGACTCGCAGCGCAATGCGTTTGTGGAGGTTCCAGTGCTCCACGGCCACGGCCACCATGAGCCCCCCCACAAACAGCATGTTGGTGTCCTTCAGGTACTGCATGCACACCTGAACGACAACAAAAATGTGTTCACTGTCAGCTTTACGATGTTATAAAAGATTAGGCTATACTCCAAATAGAAATGTGTTATATGTAGTGTACTAAATACGAAAGCCCCGATAGCAAATTTCAGGTCTCAGATAGAAGTGTTCTCTATAGTGACCAGCAGGGGGCGACTCCTCTGCTCCCATAGACGTCTATGAGGAAATGACTCTACTTCTCTGTAGTGACCAGCAGGGGGCGACTCCTCTGCTCCCATAGACGTCTATGAGGAAATGACTCTACTTCTCTGTAGTGACCAGCAGGGGGCGACTCCTCTGCTCCCATAGACGTCTATGAGGAAATGACTCTACTTCTCTGTAGTGACCAGCAGGGGGCGACTCCTCTGCTGCCATAGACGTCTATGAGGAAATGACTCTACTTCTCTGTAGTGACCAGCAGGGGGCGACTCCTCTGCTGCCATAGACGTCTATGAGGAAATGACTCTACTTCTCTGTAGTGACCAGCAGGGGGCGACTCCTCTGCTCCCATATGTTAAGCGAAGAGTTCTTACCTGATATTCTGACAAAGTTAAAAGCCTTTTGGTTTTCCTCCTCGAGTGGAGCCACTTTGGGTTGATCATTTTTATAGCCACACTTCTTCCTAAATGATTTATTGGGAGAAGTGTGATTGTAAAATGACCACTAGCAGTGTTCTTTTATTTTGATGATCCTGTTTCCTACTTCGATTTTATGTGACTTTTATTTTGACATCATACTATCTGCTCACGTGATTAATCGCTCGCGCTCACATTTGTTCAATAGAAGACACGAGAAGCTAAATAGCAACTAAATAAGTTAAGCTAATGGCGGCGGACTTCCCTGGATCACCACTTTATAGCAGCCTTCGATATGCGGAGCGAGGTATGTGCTTCATTGTGATTGTATTTCATTGTATTTCATGTAAATTCGTTTCATATAATGACTGTTGCTATGCTGTTATCCATGTATGCTAAAGTGCATTTGTCAAAGGATTATTTGTATCTGGCTAAATTGCCTTTGTTATTTCCCTTTTTAGTTGTCACGGTGCTGGTGCTATGCACACTCATCTGAATGAAAGTACACCCGTCTGGAAACACTCCCAAGCCTGTTTCTTCCAAGTTGAAGGGACGCTAAAGTGATCTAGATCCTTTTTATAGCTGCTATTTATTTTCTCTGCCTTGGAGATCCAGTCTCACTAACAAAGACTACAAATCCCA